GAAATGTTTCTTACCAGCGAAAACCAGAAAACTAGCCCTCCCGGAGACCGGCAGGACAGCGGGGACGGGGCAAATCGCACCGTACTGTGCAGGACCGGGAATGGCGGGGGGGGGGGGGCGCCCGGCACGGTTTTGGGCCTCAAGTGTGCAACTGTTGTCATTATTCAACGTCCACCGCGCCCTCTTTCTCAACAGGAAGGCTCTCATCCTTGAAACGGTCGCCAATTTTGAGGCCCCGCGCGTGGCTTCTTAGAGAGCCGCCAAGAGGCCCCAAGAGGTCTCAGGAGGCATCAGGAAGCTCCAGGAGGCTTCAGGACGTCCCCGGAGGCCGTGGGAATCCTAAGGAAGCTCCAGGACGCTCCAGGAGGTCCCACGATGCCCCGCGAGGTCCCACAAGGCCCCAGGAGGTCCCATCATGCTCCGAGCGTATCCTGAACGACCCAAAAGTTCCAGAACGCTGCGGACGCCCCTGGAGGGCTGAGGATACCCTAGGAGAGCCCAGGAGGTTTCAAGAGGCCGCAGGATGTCCCCAGAGGTTGCTATCCCAGGAGGCCCCCGGGATTACCAGGAGGCTCCATGAGGTCCCATGGTCCATCACGCCCGAGGTAGGGAGGGGGAGGCGGAGGAGGAGGACGTGGAGGAGGAGGAGGAGGAGGAGGAGGAGGAGGACAAGGAAAAGGAGGAGGAGGACGAGGAGAAGGATGAGGACGAGGACGAGCATGACGATGAAAGGATGAGCAGGGTGACGGCGTGACGCCCCAGCAAATACACTTGGCCCAATTGGTTTCTACCCCCGCGAGTGGCGTTACATGGTGTGTATACATATATATATATAACCCCTGTTCGGGAGAACCGTGGGGGTGGGGGCACCCGCCAAATTGAGACGCACGGCGGCGTCCTTGGTGATTAACGCCGACACCAGGTTGACAGCAGGAAGGCGACAGGCGCGACGCGAGCGGCACAGCTTCAGCGGAAAGAGACAACAGCGTCTCCGATATAGCGGGGCGGCTGGCTACAGACAAGGGGGAAAGAGGCACCTTCGCTGGCGGGCGGTACTGACATGGTTACAAACAAAAACAAAAGAGAAGTGGAGGAGCGGAAGAGACAGCAGAAAGGGCTCATCCTTTTCCTTTGCCCTCCCCCCTTTTACGCTACAACGCCCTACGACGACGACAGTGACGGTGACATCGACGGCGATGGCGACGGATGCAACAATGGCGACGAAAACGAAAAAGGACGACGACGCACCGCGGACGCCCAAACAAAGAGGAAATGCAGTCGACAATGACGACGACGGCGGCCACGACGACGGGGTACCGCGGATGCCCTATTGGGGGCGGGCGATACCGGCCTAGGCCCGCTGTAGTCGTCGACGACGACGACGGCGACGACGAGAGCGACGACGACGATGACCGACGACCGACGACGACGACGGAGACGAAAACGGACGACGACGCACTGCGGACGCCCAAGCAGCGGGGCGCTGCAGTCGACGACAACGACGACGACGGCGGCCACGACGACGACGCATCGCGGATGCCCTGTGGGGGGGGGCCTCTGCGTATGCCCGCCGCTGACGACCGAGACCACGACGACGAGGACGACGGCGACAACGACGACGACGACGAGGACGACGACAACGCGACGACGACGGCGGCGACGACGACGCAATGCGGATGCCGCATGGGCGGGGGCTTGCGCAGACCGCTGTATTCGACGACGACGACGGACGATGACGATGACATCTATTAATGACGGCTATGACGACGGCGACGACGGACGACGAGGACGGCGACGACGACGACCACGACGACGACAACGACGACGACGACGACGGCAATGGAGGTGACGGCGATGGGGACGACGATGACGACGCCTGAGAATTGGAAACAGGTCGCTTCGGATGTATACGACCCCTATGACAAATTCTGTGCGACACGCAATCGCTTCGAGGCTCTCATGTAGGGGGTCATGATGCCATCGGCGGCGCCCGCGACGAACCCCTGGGGCGAGTGATTCAAACAAGGTTTCGCGCCCGGCGGGGTCTATTCATGAGCGCATGGGAGGGGGAGGGCATCAGATGTTAACCCCAAGCGGACATCACCGCCACGCCCCAAGTCCTCTCAGTGCGCGTTCTGGCCATGACCTCGAAGAAAAAATTCGGCAGCGGCGACTGGGCTCTTCAGGACGGGCAGCGGCATCGGCACCCAGAGAGATCCAAGGCACCCAGTTGTTCGAAAACAGGGCCCGCTTCCCAGGGTCGGCCTGTCACCCTGAATCGTTTTGTCGTCCGAAAAAGAGCCAACATGTTGTTTGTTGTGAAGCTCGTCAAAACGCCAGCGTGTCTGGCAAAACGAAACCAGGACGAGGATACATTTGGATGGGCATCAATCGAGAATCCGCCGACCTTGTCGGCGTGTGGGAGGGACTGTGCCGTTCGCCGTCGTCGTTGTTGTCGTCGTCGGCGTTGCGGTACCCTAGCGGGCTTGAACAAAAATCGACCCATGTCGTAACCACGTCAGAAAGAAACCCATTCATTCCCTTTGTCCCTTTCCCGGCGGGGGTGGGTGGGTAGAGGGAGGAGAGGGAGGAGAGGGAGGAGGAGGAAAAGGAGGAGGAGGAGGAGGAGGAAGAGGAGGAGGAGGAGGAGGAGGACGAGGAGGAGGAGGGGGGGGTCCGGGGGGGGGCCGCCACCCAGATACGCTTTCGCCCCCTGCGCGCTCCCCGCGCGTCCGGCGCGGTGCCCGCGCGGATCCGAGCCCCGTGCGGCTCCGGGAGCTCACAGTTATCCCCGAGGTGATGCCACGAGCCTTCCAAGATACCCCCAGCCGTCCAAGACGCTCCCACACGATGCCGAAAGCAAGCCCTCGACGACAGGAATCTTCCGAGCCGTCCACGGATGCCCAGAGAAACTAAAGACAACGGCCCGACACCAGAGGAAATCCAATGTTTTTGGCTTTCTCGCCTTATCGCTTCCGAAGGGCTGCGAGGGCTGCGAAAGGCGGCGAAGCAGGGCTCCGCCGCCGCCCACCGACGGGCAGTCAAGGCGCTCAGGAAGCCCAGACCTCAGTTCAGCTCTTCACCACGGGTTTTCGAAACTCACCGGACCCCAAGATGGCCCCTGCAGGCCGAAAATGACGAAAGACTAAGCATGTAGAAGAAGTCCCCCTCCTCCTCCTCCTCCTCCTCCTCCTCCTCCTCCTCCCTCCTCCTCCTCTCCGCCTCCTCCTCGTCCTCCTCATCCTCCACCTCCTCCTCCTCCTCCTCCTCCCTCCTCCTACTCCTCCTACTCCTCCCACTCCTCCTCCTTCTCCTCCTCTCCTCCTCCTCCTCCTCCTCCTCCTCCTCCTCCCCCTCCTCCAACTCCTCCTCCTCCTCTTCCTCCTCCTCTTCCTCCTCCTCCTCCTCGTCCTCGTCCTCGTCCTCGTCCTCGTCTTTGTCCTCGTCCTCGTCCTGCTCACTCTGCGGGCTCCGAACCCCAGGCTCGAAGATCGAGGCTTTCTGGCGCCGCCGGAGCCATCTCTTCGGCCACCCTCCTGCTGCTGTTCCTCCTCCTCCTCCTCCTCCTCCTCCTCCTCCTCCTCCTCCTGCTCCTGCTCCTGCTCCTGCCTGCTCCTGCTCCTGCTCCTCCTCCTCCTCCTCCTCCTCCTCTCCTCCTCCAACGTCTGTCCTTCTCCAGCCACCCCCCTTTCCTACTTTTTCTCCCATCTCCACGCTTCTCCTCCCCCTCCTCCCACCTCCTGCTTCTTCTCCTCCTCCTCCTCCTCCTCCTCCTCCTCCTCCGCCTCCTCCTCCTCCTTCTCCTCGTCCTCTTCCACTTCCTCCTCGCCTCCCCCTCCTCCTCCTCCTCCTCCTCCTCCTCCTCCTCATCTTCCACGGCATCCGTCTCCGCCCACTTCGTCGCCGACGTCGTGGTCCTCTTCAAGGTCGGCGGCACCGGCCGCCACCAGGCCTTCGCAAGCTTTGAGTTCCAGCGGACATGGGAAATGTATCGGGCGCCGCAGCCCTCTCTGAACGTTCTGGAACGCCCTGATCGCGCTCTGGGACGCTCTGGAAATAGAGGCCTCCTGGATGGGGTCCAAGTAGATGGGGTCGGAGGATCGCGCCGCATCGGCGATGCATCGGCGATGCATCGGCGACGTCGGCGGTGCATCGGCGACGCTGGCGTGGAGCCCGAATATTGCTCCACAGCGAGCCGCATCGCTGACGCATCGGCGATGCGGCGCGATCCTCCGACCGACCCCATCTACAGTCGGGGCGTTGACCTAAGGAACCCTAAATAAGGAACGAGGCCTCTCCTTTCCCATAAGTTAAACTTCGATTCCCCATCGAAAACCTTGGGAAAACCTGAGGCAAGCTGCGAAACAATCAAGGAACACGGAGCCCCTCCCCAACGAAAAGGGTTCCTTCTTCAAGACCCCTACTCTACTCGGACCCGATCTGGGAGCCCTTTGATTGGCGGCCTTGCATCCTCGGCCCAGCCCCGCCCGAGCTGGAGAGGCGGCCCCCGAGCTCGAGCAGCGCCGCCTGGGCGCGCGGCCGCTGCCGCGCACCCGCCCAGGGGGAGGGGGCGTCGTCGAGCGGGCGCGGGCCGGGGTCCGGCCCGCCGGGGGGGTCCTCGTGCATCGGCGACGTCTCGGAGATGCGGCGCGATCGTTTGACCCCGTCTCCTCTGACTGCATCTGGGATGCCCAGAGAACTGGCTCCGGATGAATTCCAAGAACTGTCGAGTATCTAGCGGCCCACGTTCCAACAGCCCGTGCGAAATCCTGGGAATCCTGACACGAATTATACCATGACCCGTTACTCCTCCGAGAGGGGGGACCGGGACGACAAGGGCGAGGAGGTCGACGAGGAGGGGGATGAAGCAACACTGAAGGCGGCATTCCCAGGGAGAGGCTCTTGCGTCGTGGCTGCCCCGTTGCGCCAGCGCGGCATGCGAGGGCATGCCAACAGGGAGCACCAGTCTCCCCCGAAGCGTCCCCCCCCAAAGCGCTTCTGTCGCCCAGCAGCTTGTCAGCGTGACACGGCGTGCCCGCAGGATCAGCACGCCCAGCCCCCTGAGCATGCGATTCCAGCAGGACGGCTCGCTGCAGGCGGAGGGGCGTCCGGCCGAGAGCAAAGGGGAGGGGGGCGGGCCGGCCGCGCCAGCGTTTCGCCCAGCTCTGCATTGATCCTCTCGGGCAGGCGACGGAGACGCCTGCATCGGCCGAGGCCCGGTGCAACACCTCCAAGGTGGTGCGTGGGGCGAATTCTGGAATCTTCGGCGGTGGACAAGCCTCCCTTTCAGAAGCCCCCCCTTCATGAAAACGGCCTGGGACCGACACCGACGGACCTGGACCCGCAAAAAAATGACGGCCGCGACGCCCGCTCGCGAACCGAAAGCGGCCAATTCCTCGATCGACGCGTCAGGTTATGGAGGTCTGTCCACCTCCGGAATCTACGCAATGCGGCGACTGGACGATTCTGCCAGCCGCAGCCGCGCTTGCACGAGCAGCGAGTGGAGGCTGCGGAGGCGGGGACTGTGCGGGAGGCTGCACGAGCAACGAGTGGAGGCTGCGGAGGCTTGCACGAGCAACGAGTGGAGGCGGTGTGCGGTTAGGAGGGCGGGGCTGTTCCCAGAATGGGGGCACCGTCTACTCTGACCCTGCTTCCAGGAAGCTCTGCGCACACTTTTTGGTTCAAGTCAACTTGGACCACCGCGGTGTGAACCGGACAGGGGAGAAAGCAAGAGAGCTAGAAAAGGAGAGAAAGCGAGAGAGAGAGAGAGAGGAGAAGATAGCTAGCCTCGTCCTCCTCTACCCTCCCCACCCTCTCCTCCTGCTTCTCCCTCCTCCTATTCCTCCCCCCTTCCCGGACGGGCGCGTCGTCATCGCGGACGGCGGCCCAACGGCCCCGGAGAGCCAAGATCGGACCGTGGCGTCCGAGTATCAGAGCTCGCTCGGAGACGCCAACAGCCTCGCTCGGAGGAGCACGCCTCGCTCGGAGGAGCCAGCAGCCGTCCGCAGCGCAGAGCTCGCTCGGAGGAGCCAACAGCCTCGCTCGGAGGAGCACGCCTCGCTCGGAGGAGCCGGCAGCCGTCCGCAGCGCAGAGCTCGCTGGACCCCCTGCGGCATCCGGCGACGCGCCCTGCCGCACGCGCGGCGCAGGCGGTCCCGGCCCGCCTCGGGCCCGGGCTGGATCGCCCCAGGGCCGGCAGCGGGCCCCAGAGGTCGCCATCGAAGAACGCCCTGGGATTGGAACAAATCGTGCCAGTGGAACAGATCTATGTGTATATATATATATATACACATACATTCACAAACACCCTCCCAGGAACTTCGCATGTACCTTCAGGGAAGTGACGGCGTAGAAACAAATAGCTGGCCCTCAGTGGTGACTTATACCCCCGGCACCCTCCCGTGAAGCCCAGAAGCAATCCATTGGAGAGTGTCTGTGTACACTACTTTGAGGCGGAATCTGGATCCACTCGCTCCTCTGCGCGCATGCTGTCTGTGCTTCCCGATTCTGGCCGCGGCACGGGGCGGCGCAGCGATCCAAGGCTCCACCAAAATATTTTTTTGCGTTCTCTTTTTGCTTTCGCTCTCCCTCGTCTTCTCTCCGTTTTGTTTGCGTTTTCCCTGCGAAGCGACATCAAAACAGAAACGGTTCACGAAATCGCCAAGACACCGACTCAGTCGAGCCCTGGCAGAACGATCCCCCGGGGGAGGGCAGAAACTGCCACCAGGGTGAAGCCGGGCATGTCCCTCTACAGGAGGAATAATCAAAATGGTAGAAAAATAATCTGGGGACGATTCCTCTATTATTGTAGACAACTTTGGGCATTTATTGACTCTCTATATATACATATGTATGTATACACACATATATATATAGATATTCGTCCAAACTCCACCTGTAGGAGGACACGCCCGACCTACACCGGGGGGACATCGCCCCCCCCTCCCACAAAGAGGACAGCGGCGAGCCCAGGGCCAGGGAACATGTCGTCCTCCTCCCCGGAGGTCCTTCGAGGGCAGAAGATCCACCCCGAGAAGGACCACCCCGACACGCGAAGCCCTGAAGCCAACGCACCCCAAGAGGGAAACACACAGGGCAGGGGCTGCTCCGTAAACGCCCGGGGCCGCGCAGCAAACGCCAATGGTCCGGTCCGGGTGTCTCTTCCTCCCCCTGAGATCCGGGAATGGACAGACCCCCTCGGGGCGGGCGCAAGCCTGGAAAATGACGGCCGCGGCGCCCTCTGGAGAAACGAAAACGGACAATTCACTAATCGACGTGTCAGGGTAGGAGGTCTGTCCACCCTCGAGAGATCCTGGCGCCTCGACTCCTCGAGGCGGGCGCTCCCGTCGGGCTCCGGGGCCCCAGGCCCTCGCAGATCGAGCAGCCAGCTCGAGCAATGCTGCAGCGGAGTGGGGTCCGGGGCGCCGGTCGTCGTTGCCCACGGTGTCGCGGGCCTCCGCAGAAGGCTCAGAGAGGGCATGCGGCCTGCCGAGAGGACTGCGCCGCCTGCGAGTCCACGGGCGGATTTTCTCGGAGGGCATGGAGGTTCCCGAGGAGGGCTGCCCCCCCCCCTCACTGGGCGCGCCGCCGGATTGCGAGGGAGGGAGGCGGGGGAACAGGGGGGCGGTGTGGAGGACAAGTCTCCCTTCCATCCCTCGTCTCCCTCTTCACCCTCCCGCCTCCTCCCCCCCCTCCTGTCCCCTTTCCTCGTGCCCTTCCTCCCCCCTCTTCCACGCTCATCCCAGGTGAAGTTGAGCTGCTCCGATAGGGCGCGCCACGCGCGCGAATTAGCCCGAGGAGAGGGGCCGTGGCAGCGGCGGGACTTCCCCCGGCCGCGCAACGCTCACTGGCCAGCCCCGCCATCGTGCAGCGCACCCCTGTTGGTAAGGCTGCGGGTTGCGCACAGAAAGGCTCCTCAAGTAGTCCCAGGTGGCCTCAACAGGCACCCCCGGAGTAGCCCCAGGTGGCCTCAATACTCAACAGGTCCCCCGAGGAGCACTTCTCTCTCACTCTTCAGACGAATCTACCCGCAAAGAGGAGGGGGGGGGGGGCGTGGTCAGGCCCGAGGGGCAATTCTGGACGTCACGCGAGTCGGGACCCGCTGGCACGCCTCTTCGGCTCGGCGGTGCTGGAAAAGGCGGTGGGCGGGGGGGGGCGGGAGAGAGCTGCCAGGCAATCAAATTCGCCCGGGTCTGGCGAAAAATCAGCCTCTAGTCCAGGGCAGGAAGAGGAGGAGGAGGAGGAGGGAGGAGGAGGAGGAGGAGGAAGAGGAGGAGGAGGAGGAGGAGGAGGAGGAGGAGGGAGGAGGAGGAGGAGGAGGAGGAGGAGGAGGGAGGAAGGAGGAGGAGGGGCGCTCTCAGCGCCCTGGCGCCGCCCTGGGGCGCTCCGCGCCCCAGGGCCGAAGTGCCGAGGCCGCCCTGGGCTGCACGGGGCAGTTTCTCATACATCAGATTTGTGAAACATATGATATTTTAATGCATGGTTAGTGAATTTACGCATAATGGAGGGATGAACAAAAACGACCCTGCCCTGGGTTATAAGTGCGTGGTCTGTAAACCTCCTGGGAACCCCCAAGGCCTAGAGCCGCCAGGACGCGGCACATCACGCAGGGTTTACCCTGTCAGCCCACAGGAGTTTCAGCGCACAGCGCCTCGTAAAACAGGGTAGGGGCGTTTTTTTTTTTTCTGCCTTTGAATAAATGTATGCATGAACCCATCGTTGGTTTGAATACTACATCCCTGCATCTTTAGCACATGATCCGCACTCGGAGCATGTCTTAAAAGCGGCACTGCACTGAGGCCAGCTGGGACTACCTGAGGGGGCTGCCTGTGCGCAACCCGAGGCCTTCCACCTGCGGCAAGTTCTTGTCGTGGCGACCCCTGCGTTGGTTTTTCCGACGCCGCGTGGACCGCTCGCCCTTGAAGAATCGGCTGTGCTTCGATCGCCAGATCGTTCCACGTTGGCCGACTCTGGGCATCTCGAGGCGCTCAACCTTGGACGTCCACGCTGGGATCGTCGACACGTCAACACGGAACGGACGTACCGTGGAAGTAACCGCCATCCCTCCTCACTTCCTCCTCTCGCCTCCCCAGCCCGCCGCTCATCCTCACCCTCCCACCCTTCCTCTTGGGGAGACAAAAATGCACCGCTCCTGCGACTCCCCGGACCTCTCCTGGGGTGCGTTCTGACCCGAATGCCCAGGCGAACCCACAACGGTGGCAACGAAGGCTACCCAGGAGGCCCCAAATGGCGAAAACGAGGAGAGGGTAACGGTATCGGCACCCGTTCCCCCCTTTTCTCTCCTGGGGTGCGTTCTGACCAGGATGCCCCAGGCGAACCCAACGGTGGCGACGAAGGCCTCCCAGGAAGCCCCAGATGGCAAAAGCGAGGCGGGGTTAACGGTATCGTCACCTGTTTCCCCATATTTCCTCCCGTATCTTGCCATCGCTCGGACGTCCATTCCCGGTGCATGGTTCGTCTTCATGGTTGATTCTTGTTGTGCAACGACCTAGGATGCGCCTCCTCGGCCCTCGCCGAGAACGAATGCCAACGCCCGAGCGCTGCCAGGTGTTCCCCCCCCCCGCCTCTCCACGTATCTCCTCCTGGCCTCCCCCTCCTCCTCCTCCTCCTCCTCCTCCTCCTCCTCCTCCTCCTCCTCCTCCTCCTCCTCCTCCTCCTCCCCCTCCCCCTCCCCCTCCCCCTCCCCCTGCCCCTGCCCCTGCCCCTGCCCCTGCCCCTGCCCCGGAAGCGACTGAAATCACGATCCCAGGAAGACTTGGATCGCGATCCAAGTCTTTTGGGCGCGGCGCGCCGCAGGGAGAGCCCCCTCCCCCTTCCTTGGGACTCCCCCGAACGAGGAGGAGGAGGCGGAGGGAAGCGGGGGGAGGAGGGAAGGAGGGAGGAGGAGGAAAAGGAGGGAAGGGGGGAAGAGGAGGAGAAGAGCGAGGAAGTGGGAGGAGGAGGAAGGAGGAAAAAAAACGAGGGAGAAAGATAAAAAAAACGTTGCTACTGATTGGTTTCCGTGGGTGTGGGCTTCCATAGGTTTCCGATGGATGGTTTTCCGTTGGTTTGTGTTTCCGTGGGTGTCCGTGGGTTTGGGTTTGGGTTTGGGTTTGGTTTCCGTTGGTTTCCGTCGGTTTCCGTGCGTTTGGGTTTGGGTTGAATTTTCGCGGGTTTCCGTGGGTCTGTGCTTCCATGGGTGTCCGTGGGCTTCCGTGAGTTTGGGTTTCCGTTGCTTTCCGTCGGTTTCCGTGCGTTTGGATTTGGGTTGGGTTTCCGTGGGTTTCCGTGTGTTTAAATTTCCGTGGGTTTCCGTTGGTTTGGGTGTTCATGGGTTTCCGTACGTTACCTTGGGTTGTCGTCGTCAGCAGCAGCATC